GATTTTACAGCCATAAACACTTACGGGAAAGGTGTAAACTTGAAAAGGTACAGAAAAGTGCTAACCATAAATATTTGTGTGAAATAAACAGCCACACAACTGTAACTGCTGTGAATGCAGAAAAGTACACTGGAGCTTCATTAACTTCCCTGATTGGAAATTAGAATATTCTGGGAATCAAACAATAAAAAATTCAAAGATGCTGTATCCCAAACTATGATAAATCATTTATTTTGACAAGTACGGGTAGTTTAGTTTTAATTATTTATTCTTATACTTCGTAGCATATCAGAAAATATGCAGTGATTTATTGTGCAAAATGAAATCTTAATAAAACAAGTCCCTTCCCCAAACTACAGCATTATTAAATCTTCATGGAAATGTGAGGGTGAACTCGTGGATTAGTTTTGTTGTTGAGCTGGAGGGTTAGTAAACTGAAAATAAGCCATTCCTATTGTATTTAGCTCTATTGTGACTTCAGTCCTGTACAGTCACACAACCTCAGGGATGAGGAGAGGATTGGAGAGGGATACTGGACTCCCAGCTCCTCTGCTGTCTGGCAGATGATGCAGTTGCATTTTACTATGAAAGCAAGTGGGGGTTATTGGCTTCAGACCTTCACCCCTTCCAAAGCTCCCTGTCATGAGCTAATGGCTCCTCTTGAGGCAGGTGTAGGTGAGCCAGCCCTTTTAAACACACTATTCCTGCCCTTTTTTTTAATAAAAAAGCTCTCAGGACTATCAAGTGGAAGGGTTGCCACTGACACTCACCTCACCCTCACAGTGGGTGTGACTTGGTGCACTTACATCACCCTGAGCTCTGTCAGTCAGAATGGACCAGTCCTGCCATAAATTCCCCCTCAAGATCTTGGATTAACGGCACTGAGCACCTGGATCAGCAGCTGAGGAAGGGGTTGTCACCCCAGTCATTGTGCTGCCACCACCCCCTCCTCTCCAGCACCCACCTCTGCCCCAGCTCAAATGAGGGATTAATTTCTCCCATGATTATGGTTTGGGGGTAAATTCAGTTTATACCTCGTGTTAATGATACAATGGGGAGAGATGGAGCTTTGCGGTCACTTCCCCTTCTTCTCTCTGAGCAGAAAATTGCAAAGCTCACTGGTATTTAAAGGTAATTATTTCGATGAGCCAGTAATTTGTTCTGGGGATGATAGCACATAAACCAGCCCAGAAAGCTCCTGCATGGGAAAACTTGAGGATCCAAATGAGGAAAACACTGGGAGAAGAGAGGTGATGGGATTCTGAAGAAGAATGGCCCGTGTTCCACCCAACAGGACACGAGGGTGGGAGTCACAACATCAGCTCTGTCCCTATGGCTTTTATCATCCAGGACATGGACACCTGGACCAAGGTCAGTGAGTACATCCACACCCTCATTCCTGCAGAACTGGAGAGGGAAATGGCCCTCCCCATCTCTCAGGAGCCACAGAGGTGTCCTCACACACACGGGAAGTTCTGAAGTGTCAGCTCTGGATTTTAAAAGGGCAGTAACAGAGAAAGGGATTTTCAAGAAATATCAGCTATTTAAAAATTTACAGGATTTTTTTTTTCCCCCACATTTTCAGTGGAAACATGTAAATTTCTGCTCCAAATCCCAGTCTTTTGGGTCAGTGTTAATTCCAGAGGAGCAAAACATCACATCTAAATCAGCAAGGCAGTCTATGCACAAAGCAGGAGTCGTGCTGAGCACTACTCTTTAAAGGTAGCCTTAATAATGGGGAATGAGCACTTACTGAAATGGTAAAAGGAAATGTTAATTTAACTATTAAATACATAATTAGGTTAAGTACTTGTTTCTGCAACTGTAACACTTCAGCCTGATGCAAACTCACTTTCTGGCCTGTGCAATAGATTTAATTTCTTCTTTTTTTTTTTTTTTTTTTTTACTATAAAGAGGTAAAACACAGGAATTGCTGCTACAAAGACTACTTAGATGTAATTTACCAAAGTGTTTTATAAAGGTAAAGCATCACGCAAGGCAAAGACTATGAGGATGTTTCAGCAAATGAGCTGAGCTACTGCAGCAGCTCCTGCTCCTCAACCAGTGAACCTTCTCCATCTCCTCTGAGGCCACACACTCCCCTTCTGTCCCTTATGGGGACCCCAACACAAGAAGACACAGACCTGTTGGAGAGAGTCCAGAGGGGGCCATGAAGATGCTCCCAGGGCTGGAGCCCCTCTGCTCTGGAGCCAGGCTGGGAGAGTTGGGGGGGTTCAGCTGGAGAGGAGAAGGCTCCAGGGAGACCTCAGAGCCCCTTGCAGGGCCTAAAGGGACTCCAGGAGAGCTGGAGATGGATTTTGGACAAGGGCCTGGAGGGACAGGACACGGGGAATGGCTTCCCACTGCCAGAGGGCAGGGTTAGATGGGATAATGGGAAGAAATTCTTCCCTGGGAGGGTGGGCAGGCCCTGGTACAAGTTGCCCAGAGAAACTGTGGCTGCCCCAGCCCTGGAAGTGTTCAAGGCCAGGTTGGACGGGGCTTGAAGCAACCTGGGCTGGTGGAAGGTGTCCCTGCCCATGGCAGGGGGGTTGGGATGAGAGATGGTCTTTAAGGTCCTTTCCAACCCAAACCATTCTGTGATTCTGATTTTGGCACTGCTGCTTTTCCCACGGTTTGTTGAGCTGACTCCATTCGTTAAACCCACAGGAAACAAACTTGGCCCCTTCATCCCAAATCTGCAGTTACTGAGCTCACTGGAGTCAATGAATGGTCCCCCAGTTCCAAGAGCTGCTTTTTGGGAAGGGATGGCACTGCAGCAGCTGGAGGGGGAGGCAGAGGAGGAGCAGATGAGGAAAGGGAAGAGAGAATCCCCTCTTCTGGCTTTATAACAGCTCAGATGAACTGCACACTGATGTTAACGTACAGAGCCAGCTTTTGCTGAATTGCAACCAAAGAAAGGGTTATGTACATGAGCAGTTATAAATTTTACCTAATTACAACAAAACCACCACAATAAAGTAAAAAACAAACAAACAAAGCAACCACATCGCAGCTTTGTTCCAGTTAGACAGAAAAATAGCATTTCTGTATAAACATATACAATCCATTTTAGCATGGCAATGGGGAAATCAGAAATACCTATTCTTTAAGTACAACTCCCTTTCTACTCTGAGGAAAAAACAAAACAAACCTACATTGCTACACTGGCAAAATGCAGTGCTTTTGCAAAAATCACAAAATAATTCTACCAAAAAATCTTTTAACACCTACATCATTTCTAAAAAGTCTACAGATTTCCAAATAATTACTAGTACTTTCATAAATATTTAATGCAGTCTACAAAAGTTCTTTGACAGAACTAAAAACCCACTGTGCAAACACCAGTTTGCTTTTACTGACTAAATAATCAAGCCAACAACTTACAAATCTGCTTTGAGCTTCATTAAGGCATTAAGGGGCTGGAGTGTGTCCAGAGAAGGGAATGGAGCTGGGGAAGGGTCTGGAGCAGCAGGAGCAGCTGAGGGAGCTGGGGGGGGGCTCAGCCTGGAAGAAAAGAGGCTCAGGGGGAACATTTTCACTCTGTACCTGACAGGAGGGTATAGGTGGGAGTTGGTCTCTTCTCCCAGGTAACAAGTGATGGGACAAGAGGAAACAGCCTCAAGTTGCTTCAGGAGATGTTTAGATTGGATATTAGGGAAAATCTCTTCACTAAAAGGGTTATCAAGCCCTGGTACAGGTAGCCCAGGGCAGTTGTGGAGTCCTCATCACTGGAGGGATTTAAAAGATGTGGCACTTGGGGACATGGGTTAGTGGTGGCCTTGGCAGTGCCCAGTTAATGGTTGAACTGGATGATCACAGAGGGCTTTTCCAGTGTAAATGATTTGTGATTTGTGTTTGTCCAATTCACCAAGAACTAATGTAAAGGCCAAGACACTTGCAAGACTTGACAGCTGCACCAGGGGAGGGTGGGGCTGAAATCTGATCTGGCAAAAGGAAAAAAAGGCAAAACCAAACAGCAGCTGGAGGAGGGGGTTCATTTTCAACAGGAGCAGTGGCCTGGTCTGGTGCACAACCACTGCTGACAGTACAGGGCACCCAGCAGGACAACACAGAGGGGAAAGAGCTGTCCCATTCCTCCTGCAAGTGAGCTGCTCTTAGGTAAGGTTCAGCAGGATTATAAATCCATAACCTGAGAGATTTAAGACTGTAATCTCTGATCTTACCTGACAGAAGGTTTAATGAATGTCACTGATAAGCAAACGCCTGGCTGAGGTTTCCCTCTGTGAAACCACTGCCTGTTGTGTGTGTCACCTGTGAATCCTGCCTGTCCATGACCACCTCCTGCATCACCTCAAACAGCCACTCAAAGTACAGTCTGGACCACAAGGGCACTTGGTTTGGGTGTTGGGTTTGGGTTTTTTTTAAAACTTATTATTTTAGGAAGTCCCACACAATTGTGCCACTTTGTCAGGAGTGTGTGCCCTGCAAGGGATTGTGGGAGGGATATTTCTGCCAAATTATCATCTGCAAATTAGCATCTGCAGGAACAAATGACTTAATTTCTTCCTTGTCCTACATGGCACAGACTGATCCAACCCTTGCTAAAAATTAATACACCAATAAAACATATCAGAAAAGGAAGGAAAAGAAAACTCTGGAGAAGTCCATATAAGCTGCAGCCCTGCCACAGCCACAGGGTAGAGGCTCTTTAATTTGGGTAACCCAGTCACCTGAATGTCTGAGTAGGGACCAGCATGATGGATTTAGAAACATAAAGCCAAGAATAACTACAGTGGGAAATGTAAGTTTAAATTATTAGAAGGTAAATATATGGGATGCACTACTCCACTGTGCACACAATCCTTGCAGAGCATCCCCAAAGAGCTGTACTTTGCTCTAAATTTGCATATTTTCTTACTCTACACAGTTATGACTGCTAAGTGCATATAAAAGAACTGTCATGAAATCCAAAGGAGAATTAAAAGAGGAAAATCAAAGTCACACTCAGAATTTTATGGAGAGCTCCTTTAAAATCCTACCTGATTTGCTCTTTCAAGGTCTGTCATGATCATCTCGATTTCATCAGCCCTGGGAGAACGAGAGAGCAGAAGTTCTGTTATCACATGGAGAACACCTGCTAGACAAGTTCATGCATGGCAACAACTGCAACATTCACACAAACAATAACCATTTTCAATATTTATTTATAAAAGGACCCAGTAGGGACTGATCAGCTCATGTTCTGACTGGTGGAATCCTCTTGGGTTTCAGCTCTGTGGACTGGTTTGCAAGTCTCCAATTCCTTTGCCTGTTCCCTTTTTGCAATGAAATAGGCATATTAACATCTGAGTGTATTTCATTAGATCTTCAAAGGTCTTACTCCCCAAAATTCTGCACAAGGGCAGTGGCATCTTTCCAACACATAAAGGTGCTTCACAAGTGATAATTATGGAAAAGTCAAAGACTGCAGTTCTTCGGTCAGCTACCCATACATCCACACACAAAAGTACCCTGCTACTCCTCTGTTTCAGTGTGCCTGGAAGTTGGGTTCTAAATTTGGTTAAAAAAAAAATATATCAGGAGGTCAAAGAGACCAAGAAATTTAATTTTACATTATGCAGAAAAGAGGGGTTTTTGACATAAATTTATCAAACTCTAAATTTAGACTCTTAATGCACTTTGCAAAGCTGAATAAGAAAGTCAAAGGGTTGAAAACTATACAAACAGTCTAGGAAAAACAGTGTTAGGTGGCAGCTCCCAGACCTGGCCCCTTAAACATCAGCATTTCTAATCTTTCACTTACACAAATGGAGCCAATCCTTAAACAATCTTTTCTTATCTTCATGCTGAATCGTGGGCAAATATTTCCCACTCAGGCTCTCACCTGGGAAAGGTACCAGGAAAAGGGCTGGGAGACCTCAAGAATGTTCTGCATCAATATCATAAGACATATTATTCTCCCCAGACATTTTGCCTGTCTTGTATCCCTGGACCATATGGAAGCAATAAACACGATCCTCATCTCCTCTGAACAGCAGCTTTACCAGCAAGTCCTTTTGCAATCTGCCAACACCATAATGTCTGGTTTTTGTTTTTAATCTGCAGCAGATCATTATCAGTAAAAGCTGTGAAATGCTGGAATTCCCTTCCTCTGCCCATGCAGAAAAAGTCAGGGTTTGGTTTTGTGCTGATTCTCACAGAAGATCCATTTCCCTATGCAGGTGTTTGTTAGGAAAGATGGTTAATTGAAGTATGTCAGGGTTCTGGCACTGGATCATTACACTGAATATCGACTTACTCTTCAGCAGCATTTTAGATTTCTGTGTGCACACTCAGGGAAATGCAGTAAAAGATCGTAATAAGTAAATGTGCATGTATATAAATTAATGGAAAATTATTTTTAATTACAGCCTTTAACGTTGTCGGGGCAACATGAACTGCCTTCTGAAAAAGTCTTTTGGACAATAATGGAAAACAGATTAACATGTGTTTTCTTGGGCAGGAGAAGCTAATGTGCTCTTACAATGGGAAAAACTCCTGCACAGGACGTTTTGAATTAATAATAAATAACGGCCATTACTTACTGAATTGAACAACCACTGTTTGGGCAAAGAAGGATTGAAAGGAGCAGCCCAGGACAGGTTAATGTCAGCCTACAACAACACCTTCCATCTCTTTAGCCTCTGTAGTTGTGAAACATCTTTTGTTTTAAGACTCCAGGCCCAAAATACTTATTAATGCACCCATGAAAATTACAGCATTTCCCATGGAACACACATCCCTAAGACCATGACCCTGTATATCTGTAACAGAGATAAGAGGGAAGAGAGCATCCTAATGCACCACAAAGATGCTTCCTGGCATTTCACAAATATTTTTAGCCAGGATAGTTTAAGGATCCTCTTTGTACAAGCTCATGCATTCAGGCTGAATTTATGTGCAAATGCCTCAGGTTATATGGAGCCAGTAAATGATGTCTGGATTATGTCACATGCCTCCCAGATCAGAGCTGGGAATGTCCCACCCCGGCACACCGGCCACAGCTCCGGCAAATCCTGTTTCTGCTCCCTCTTCTGTAGGGTTTGAAGAATAAAATCCCTGCCTTTCCTCTCAAACAGGGGGTGCCAGCTATCAGCCAAAGGGCTGGAACCCAAGAATCTGAGGAGAGCGAAAGACTGAGAAGCACAAACCCATAGGGTGGGGAGAGGAAGAGCTTTGGGATCAGAAGGGTGGGGTTTCAGTCCAGGCAAGGAAACACTTCTTTCTTTAGCAGAAGAGAAGGAGACTCTGATGGAGGAAAGATGAGCATGAAGGGGTAGAATGTGAGTGAGAGGGTTGAGACCCATCCAAGAGCCCTCAGCTACTGACGGGGAGGCAACCGATGGAGACAGTGGAGCAAGGGAAGGAACAGAGGGATCCCCGAGGCCAATGGACCAAGGGGAGGTGGGACCAAGAGCAGTAAAGCAGAGGAACAGCCCAAGCCAGCAGAAAGCTGGGAGGTTGCCAGTAAAACAGGCTGAAACACAAGATGGTGCCTGACAAACAAGGTGGAAGGACTCAGGACAGCCCCTGCACTTCAAACGGACAGAAGTGTTAACACAGGTATTTGTGAGCTGTTCCGGCCGGGGTCAGGATTTAAGAGCTCTATTACAGCACTGGGATCCGCAGCCAATTACAAAAAAAAGCAACTGAGGATATAGAACACCATAAAAATGACATTTGTGCCCTTCAGCACACGCAGATAATTCTGACTGAATCCTGTAGAAGTGTCAAACTGTAGCCAAGGGCAAAATTGTCCCTTTGTCCTTGTATCCAGACAAACTAGCTGACTGATCCTGAACTCCCCTCTCCCTCCTACATTTTTTTTCTCCCAAGCTTTTCAGCACTCCTAATAAAAGGATGTAACATCTCCAAAAAAATTCAAGCAAAACACCTCCAGCCTCGCAGTCTGCACACCAATGGAGGGTAATGCTGCAACTAGAAGCGTTATCTTTAAGTAAAGTAATGAATTAAATTACTCTGTATTCTTTCCCAGCACAAGTGTCAACAGCATTCAGGAGAATCTTCAAAAGGAATTCAGGCTTTTCATTTTAAAAGCTCAACTACCACATCAGTAGCTGGCACTCAGCAGCATAAAATCATGTATTTGAGAAAGTCTCTAATAGATGCATTCACTGTTTGCTCAGCACAAGTATTTATTATAAAATAAATTACAGTTCTCACACCTTTTATGCACTCACAGAAACAACCTGCATTGATTTATTGTTTACAAAGCACCCTGTTGAATTCAGACCTGTCAGGTACGAGGCAGCTTTGCTTTGCTCACTGAATTAGTCCTGCACAGGTCATTTTCTGACGTATTCACCATCCACCACATTTGTTCATTTTCAGCCCTTCCTATTTTAGTATTTCTCTTTATTTCAATGGAATTACTTGGCAGGCAAAGCACCATCCAGTTCCAGGCTGATGGTACCCTGTCCTGCAGGTCTGCATTGAAAATCTGGTGGGAACAATGGCCAAATTCATGGAATCATAGAAACACACCATGGTTTGGGTTGGAAGGGAACTTAAAACCCATCTTGTTCCACCCCCTGCCATGGGCAGGGACACCTTCCACTAGCCCAGGTTGCTCCAAGCCCCATCCAGCCTGGCCTTGGACACTTCCAGGGATGGGGCAGCCACAAATTCTCTGGGCAACCTGTGCCAGGGCCTGCCCACCCTCACAGGGAAGAATTTCTTCCCAATATCCCAGAATTTCTTCCCAATATCCCATCTAAATCTACTTTAAAATGGTTCAGCAAGTCCACAGTTACACTGACCCTAAATTTCTGCCCAGAATCATCCCATGTGAACTAAACTCAGTTATAGGAACCAGAGGACTGATGATTTTACTCTGAGCTTTCTTTGTTCCTGAAGCAACACACATCTTGGTCTCTTGTGAGTGCCTGGATTCATCCCTCACTCCAAGAGTTGAAGGCAAGGAGAAACCTCCCGAAGTTCTATCTTTTTTGGGGTAGATACAGAGAATGAGGATAATTGTTAACAAGAAGACCTTTTGCTAAGACACACTGATATTTATGGTGGTTTGCATCAGATATCTACACTGCAACCTAAAATTAATCTGGGTTTGTTCAAGGGTGATACTTTCTTAACATTAAAACAGATCATGAGAGAAAGAGTGGGGAAAAGCTGTCTTCAACACCAAATATTATCTACCCTGTGTTTTTGCATTCCACAGCTAATATAATTATTTATCTGATCTAGTTCCTTACAATCTCTGTGCAGAGGAAAAGTAATCATGTAAGCAAGACAGTTCTTCAGGGTGTATTACAGCTTGTTCTAAGTTTCAACGTTTTCAGACTAAGGAATTCAGGAAATCAAATCTTAAGCTCAAGTATTTGGAGCTACAGAATCAGCAGCACCAAGTAAAAAGAATCTGAACTGTTGAAGCAGCATGACCATGAAATATTCTATTATTTCTTCTCTTGGTACTGTGTTTGAAGTGAGAAACAAAGTGCATTAAAAGCTACAGATTTTACACAAGACATAAGCTTTTACCAGTCATGAAACAGCCCTCAAAGCTAACATGCCACCCATAAAAAACAACCTAAGTAGTTTAAAAAAAACAAAACCAAACTACCCCACTTTTCAGTTCAATTGCTTATGGGAAATAAAAAGTGCAGAAAGGCTCAATTTTCATTTTGAGATCAAGATAACGGATTAGGCTTGAACAGCATAACAAGCAAGCAAATTCAAGGATGGGTAACGTGAAAGAAGCTCAGTTCTTCTTCTAAATAAAATTAAATTGGATGAAACCCCTGAACACCATGAAGTTATTCACTAGCAAGCAAGAAGAATCTGGACTTTATGATTAAAATCAAGTTGATCCAACTCCTTCATTTAGCTTAAAGAGGCAGAAACAATTCCTTTTTTATTAACATGACAAGTGAATGGCTTGCCAAATCTTGTGGCTACAGCCCCCTAAAGATTCAAACTTACTCAACCTTGAAGGAAACTGCTGTTGGATTCTTTATACATGGAAGAGCTGAAAAATACAGATGACACTTTGGAAATCGCAGTCAGTGGCG